AAAGAAATGCACAATGGAATCATGGGTAGTGTAAAAACAAAGAAACAAGTCATAGAGAAAGAATAGAGCAGTGGTTGCCAGCGACGAGGCTAGGAGTATTGAAATGGGAAGATATTGGTCATCTTCAAAACTTTTGTTAGAAGATAAGTAAGTCCTGAGGATCTAATGTAAGCAGGGTAACTTTCATGAATATATATAAATTTGCTGAGAAAGCAGATCGTAAGACTTCTAAGCCAAAAAGAAAATCAAATCTAACTATGCGAAGTAATGGATATATAATATATAAAATTTTATTTGTCATTTATACCTAAATAAAGCTGAAAAACAAATCCTATGTGTTCCTATTGATATTCCTAATTTAGATCCAGTATTACAGGTTTTTTTCTTAACTTTCTTTCTTCCCACCAACAATCCTAGTTAGCGGAATCACAGAAGATGATGAATTACAGTCTCGAAATCAATTATTTGCTTCATTCCACCTTTAAGCACAATAGTGTCACAACAATAATATCATATTATCAGTATACTTAAAATGATGTAAGAAAGAGAAAATATTTTTATATATTCAATTCCCTTTCTCCTCCCAGTTTTACAATGCTGTAATATGACTTCATTGTCATAGCACATGAAAGTCTCATATCATACTCTCTACCATTCAGTCATCATTTATTCTGAGTTCCTCGAGTAAGCATATATCTGGTACTCACTGTCAGTCTTTAGGTTGCTGTTTTTTTCTAGTGTAGTTATTGAAGCTCCTTCTCTAGCAGACTCTCCAAGAAAGGCTAACGATATTCGCTGAGTTCTTGCATGTTGATAAAATTTGTGCCTTACATCCTTCAAGGTCAGTTTGTTGGTTATGAATTCTTAGCTCATACTATCTTTCCTTAAGAATCTCATTTTTTAATGCTTTGCTATTGAAAAGTCTGATGACTAATTCTCTTTCCTTTATAAACTGTATACCCTATTTACCTAAATGCACAAAGATTATTTCCCCCATATTTCTCTAGAAATATAGAAAAATAGTTATATTGGATTATGTGTTGGTTGATATTTTTGGTTCAGTCTATTCGGGCACATTATGTGTTCTTTTAGAATAAAGTTCTTTTTGGGACCAGCAGTTAATGTAATGGCTATGTCGCTGGACTCCCATGTAGTCAACCACGGTTCGTGTCCCAGACCCGGTGGCTTAAAACTCACGCTGGGCGCATGTGTGTGTTTGCCCAAGATCCCAAGAAGAGAATGGAGGAGAAGGGATTGCGGTGTGGCCATCCCCCCTGGGGAGTGATTTCTCACTTTCTGTCTCTCTGTCTCTCTCTGTCTGTCTGACGAGCGCACACGCCCTATAGCAAAAACCTCTCAAAAAAAAAAAAAGATTAGAATGAAGTTCTTTTTTTTTTCCAAGATTAATTTTTTTAAATGAACAAATAATCATTATATATATTTATGGGGTACAATTTTGAATATGTATACTTATAGAATGATTATATCAAGCTGATTAACATATCTATTACCTCACCTCTATTTTAATAAGCATTGTAAAAAAATCTACTCTTAGCAATTTTGAAACATATAACATATTATTATAATGTAGTTTTCAGTGTATTCATGTATTCAAGGAAGTTTTTATCAATTAAAATGTTCAGTTTTCATTCTGTTTTCTTGTTTTGACTTTCTTCTTAAAGGGCTGTGGTGGCCATAAAATATTTTTTGTTTTTATCTTTAATATCTGTTACCTTTTCTACATTTATTTTTAAAAAATTCTTATGGATTTAAATTTTTTTCTTTTTTGCTCTTTTTATTTCTCTTAAGACGTTTGCTGATGTTTTTGTTTATTTTTGTTTAATCTTCTTGAAGTGATTTTTGTTTTTAATTGCCAGAAGGCACATTTTCTCATGAGAGAGAGAAAGAGAAAGCGCCCTCAAGTGGATTGTGGTCACGCCATAAACTCTTTCCTCCATTTCTCTGTCACATCAGTATTTTGAGCATGCACGCACCAACACACACCAGGCATATTTTCAAACCACTGGGGCTGGGATTCAAACTGTAGTCTGCCATATGGGATCTGACTGCCAACACACAACACTTAACTGCTCTGATGTAGGGCCAGCTCTGAGATGATTTGTCTTTTCATTTATAAATCTTGAGATTAATGACATAATTATTTAGTTCTCTTTTTAAAGCGTTTTTTTGGTATCGGTTGGATGTGTTCATCAGAGAGACAAGAGAGACAGAGAGAGAGAAAGCGAAAAAGTAATCCTCTAGGGGGGGATGGCCATGACCCAATCCCTTCTCCTCCATTCTCCTTGTGGGATCTTGGGCACGCATGCACATATGCCCAGCGTGAGTTTTGAGACACCAGGTCCAGGACTCGAACCGCAGTCAACAACATAGGAGTCTAGTGACATAACCATTACACCATCTGCTAGTCCTTTTACTTCTTTTATTATTCTACTTTATGTTGTTCTATCACAGCTTATATCATTTTCTTTATGTCTCTTAATTAATTTGAAACAGTAGTTTAATCTATTTTATAGGCATATCTTTTTGGCCTGGTATCAGAGTAGGTAGGGATTATTCTCATTTTTCTTATAATGACCTTGTATAAGAGTTGATCTTCATAATTTTAAGTCACTCACTTTTTGTAAACATTTAGAAAGTGACTTGATACAGATAGCTTTTCTAGCTTCACAGAGCTCTCACATTTGTTATTGATATTTGATATTAAAAATATAATAGCTTGATTGATAAGATAGTCTGGCTCTGCTCATTGCTCCATTTTATCTGGACTTTTTTTTTATCTCCATTGTCCCTGTCAAGTTCATTTTTGATTATGTTCCCAGTTGTTTGTCTGCCGTGTTAGACAATGTTTGGAAGGAGAGCCATGGTAGATCAGTTTAGTGTTCACTGCACAATCTCCTTCAGGCCTTCTTACCATAGGCTCTGCCTTTTGCTACCTTATGATCATAGATGAGTTATTTAATTTTTCTAAATCCCAGTTTCTTCATTTCAAGAACTGATATAAGAATAGTCCTTATCGACTAGTCTTACTGAAATGAAATAATGTAGAACATAAAAGTCTTAGCTGAATATCTGGCATGTGACCTTATTTATTTATTTATTTATTTATTTATTTATTTATTTATTAATAGGGTGTGTGCAGTTACTGGAGAGAGACAGAGTGAAAGTGAAAAATTATTCCCCAGGGGGCATGGCCTTGTTGCAATCCCTTCTTCTCCATTCTCCTCTCAGGATCTTGAGCATGCATGTACATGCACCTAGAATGTTTTTTAAAGTGCCAAAACCACAAAATTGCCCATGTGGGCTCCATCCTCCTTCACCACCACACCACTAACTGACCCTCAGGCAGTACTTTAATATATATCACCAAAGAAGTAACTAAGTAATGTTAACTTCAAATAGACTTTATTATATCTTATATGGTGAAATGTCATACCTACTTCATAATTAAACCAAACTAAGTCATACATACAGAAATTCATACCTTATGACAATTAGTGCAAAAAGGAATTGAGAGTTGTCCATGGTTCTTCCTCTTCTGACCAGCAACAAATGTGCCTCCTATTAAACGATTCAGCTGAATATTCCTGGACAAGATCAGTTGTTTGGAACATATACAGATTGTTTACCATCTTCTCTTATGTTTATTTTTATTTGTATCCTGTATACTTCCAGACGATTATAAACTGAGGTGATTGTTCAGGGACAGCTTCGTTTTATTTTCATGCAGCTGCCCTGCTTTTGTACTTTAACAATATGGGGATGATATGTAATTACGTATTGTTAGACAATCTGAACCTGTTTATTTTTACTTACTTTAAGGAATAATTGTAAATATTATTTCTGGAGCACAGAAATTATATCATCATAGCACCTGGGTAGAAACATTTTTAAAATTTTTGTTGTTTTTATTTTTTTTGCAATAGGCATGTGCACTTACCAGAGAGAGACAGAGAAAGAAAGAGAAAGTGAGAACTCTCCCCCAAACACACACACATATACACACAGGGAATGGCCACGCTGCAATCCCTTCAACTCCATTCTCTTCTCAGAACTTTGGCATGAGCACACACGTACCTGTCACGTTTTTCAAGTCGACATTCTCCTCTCAGAACTTTGGCATGTGCACACACGTACCTGTCACGTTTTTCAAGTCGCCAGGTCCGGGACTCATACTGACTGTGCCATTGGCCATGTAGGATCCAGCCACTTCAATCAATATGCCACTGGCTGGCCCTAGAAACATTTTGAAATTGTTGGATGTTTGATATTTCTCTACCAAGGACAAACAATGGATCTAGAAAGGGACAGGAGGGTGCAGTGATTTAGGGGGAGATGTCATGGCTCAGCTCTTTATTCTCGGTTTTCTCTACTTACTGGTAGATGCCTAGATTTCTCCTTTTTCAAAGAGCCGGGGTTCTGGAACTGCTTGCATTATGATTCCAAACCTCTGGAGGGGGACATTTGGGTCAATGGATGAGAAGAGATCTTTGATAGGAGAGAGCCTATCAAAGCTACAGGCCATATATGTAACTTTCAAGTTGCCATGTCATACATTTAATTCATAGACATCCATCACTCATCACTGTCTGTTTTCACTTGATGTGATAAGCACTAGGAAAATGAAAAAGAGGCCGGGGCCAGATGGTGGTGCCGTTGTAAAATATGATGCTTTGTGAGGCAGACCCTCATGGAAAAGTTACGAGTTCATACCAGGGACCTCCCTGAGTGTGTCTGGGACACAGGTGGGCTAACAGAAGCTGGGGGTAAACCAGAGCATGTGGACCTTGTTGGCAGTATGCATCTCTCTCTGTCTCTGTTCCCTTTACTCATGGAGTAAACAAATATGAACTTTTTATATATAAAAAAAGAATGGCTTAGAAAGAGAGAGAGGACATCATCACCATGGGTAATGACAACTGAACAGTAGTCTTTAAAAACTGACATTCCTTAACTGTGCTTTGTTTTTCTTTTCACCATAGCTTCGGAAAGCAGTGATGGATCATATATCCGATTCTTTCTTGGAAACCAACGTTCCCTTGCTGGTTCTCATCGAGGCAGCGAAGAGCGGGAATGAAAAGGAAGTGAAAGAATATGCCCAGGTTTTCCGTGAACACGCCAACAAATTGGTGGAGGTAAGTCACGGGAGGGCGGGAGAGGAGAATGGGCCAGCAGGTTTGATCCCTAAATACAGCTCTGCATTGCAATACAGAACTACCCTACATTTTTCTTGGAGAAATAAAATCCTGGAACCTTTTTCTTTTCTTTACCTTCTGATTATTCTATTCCTTTCAAAAGAAAAACATTATCACTAATACTTCTTTTCTCCAGCTCACAGTCTAAGCCTGCTCTTAAACATGCCTGCCAATTTCCCTAAACAACAGGCAGAGGCTGAAACAGAAGTAGATATTCCCAGTGCTGAATATCAGCTTCGATTTGAGGGAGTAGAATTCACACTGCCAAATGGAGGCTGACAAGCTTCCTCTTCTTCCTCCTCCCTCTCCTCCTCACTGTACCCAGAAACCTAAGTCAGCTCCCTCCAGTGTGAGTTTAGAAAAAAAAGCCCACTTTCCCCAGAGAGGTTTAGATTCCTGGCAAAAGATCTTGGGGGCAATACAAGTGTTAAGTTTAGGGTCACAAGTCTAGTTTATCTGTTAGAAAAATCGTGGGAGTTGTTTTATACATGCAAACTTGTATAATCTAGAAAAAGATATTGTTCAAGAGAAATGATAACTAGACTGTATAAATTTAGAAGCTGGAAACCAACAGCTTGGCAAAGATGGGATTAATGATACGAGGCCAAATAGAAAAGAGATGTTAAGCAGGAAATGTATGTGCTGAGGAAAAGAGCCCAGGATTGGAGTGAATCCTGGCCATTCTAGGGATTGGTTATTAAGATCAGGTTCAAACTTGGGCAGGCTCCGAATGCTCTTCACCACCACCACCATCACCACTGGAGTGCATTCCTACTTCAATTCAAAATAAAGTAAAATCACTCAAAATGATAACTGAAACGAAGGTAATTGTTTTTGTTTTCTGAGAATGGCAAAATTAAATTCTTAGTGAGTTTATTAAATGTAAAATTCTCTGTTTTTTCTTAGAATGGGTAATGGGAATGGTGCTCATTTGGGTTGTGCTCTACGCTTAGTTTGCTCTTTGGGTGATCTGCACTGTCTACCTCTGTAGACACCCAGCCACAGGAAGCCCTCCATCAAGCCCCTGGTTCTCTATGACACAGGCTGGGCTGTCTTTCAGTAGGGCAGTCAGCAAGTTCTGTGAACTTACTACCTTACTACTTCCGACTTTCCTACAGAGAGTCTTGAGGCCACACCCTCGTAGAGCTAAAAATATGATCTTATTTAAAGTACCAAGGCAGTCTTTATGGTTCTGTCCCAATTTCCAGTTTCCACCCACCATCTTCCAAGAGATCACTTGACTACTGAGAAATTCAGAGCCTTTCCAAGGTTGACCTTGGGAGCACTGATGACCTTCAACCTTCACATGTTGAAAAGGAGGAGACTGAGCTGGGGGTGAAGGGGAGGTTAGTCAGAAAGAAGGAAATGAGGAAAAAAGAAAAAATGGTGAGCATGAATGTTACAAGGTTTTAAAATAGTCACATGTAATAAAATAATAATGTTAGCACATGCATATATCTCCCCATTTATGTAATTACAGTGTTTCTGAGAGAATTGCTGAATTTACAGAAAACATTAATTAATGGTGTGCTGTAGGCATGTGGATGAAGAAAAGACCATGAATTTAAAGTTGTGTGATAAACCTCTTCGTTCAGCCTTTCTATAACTCTATGTAGCAGATCATATCTGAAATTCAAACCGAATGCCCCATGGAAATGTGAGGCCAGGGTCAAAGAGCCAGCTTTATGCATTCATCGTTCTCCAGTGGTAGATTCTGGATACATCGCATCTCTCCTCATCCCATCCCTAGGATCCACTACAGGTGAATCCAGCCACTTACGCGATCCTTGATTCTCTACTTGAGAATATTATTGTGATTATATTTCTTCTTTTCCAATCCCTATGCCTTGTTTTCTCTTGCATTACTTTACTGGCTAGGGCCCTCAGTATAATACTGTGATAATAGACAGTTTTGTTATTCTAGATCTCATTGGGAAGATTTTAATACTTTATCATTAATTATGTTGTTTGTTCTAGATTCCTTGCAGGTATTTTTATTAGATCAAATTAGTTCTATTAACATATTTGCTTAGAGAGTTGTTTTTTTTAATTATAAGCATAGAATTGTATCAAATACTCTTTCTGCACACTTTGAGAAAATTATATGAATTGTCTTTATTCTCCTTTAAAGATCTTTAGTATCTAAGATATGTTTCCCTCTAAACACGAGTTGGGAATTATTTCTTTTTTCCACTTCTTAAAAGTGAGTGTGTTAGACTGGTATTATTTATTTTTTATATTTGAAGAAATGAATTGGGGGAACCAGCAGTTAGCGTAATGGCTATGTCGCTGGACTCCCACGTAGTCGACCGCGGTTCGTGTCCCGGACCCGGTGGCTTAAAACTCACGCCGGGCGCGTGTGCGTGCGTGCCCAAGATCCCGAGAGGAGTTTGAAGAAATGAATTGGTAAAGCAGTATGAGCCTGGGGTTTTAAGGAAAGGTCTAAAAAACTAAGATTATTTAAATTTAATTTTTCTTTTTTGGTCAGCTTTAAGTTGTCTTCTAGAAATTTATTATTTTTATTTACTAATTGATTGGTGTAAAATTGTCCCTAAAACCTTTATGTTTTCTATTTAATGTGAGGGGAGCTGTATTGCCTTTCTCCCTTCCTCCCCTTTTTCTTTCTTCCTTTTTTCTTCTTTCTTCTCATATTGCTATTTAATGTCATCTCCCTTTTTCTTCATTGGATTTGCACATATTGCTAATTAGTGTCATCTCCCTTTTTCTTCATTGGATTTGCAAGTAGTTCATAATTTAAGATTTTCTAAAAGATTTTGTAGGTTTTGTAGATATTTTTGAATTTGCTCTTATTTATCTTGGCCCTTACCTTTATGTTTGTTCTTTGTTTTCTTTCAGTGAAACTTGCTCTTCTTTTTATAACTTATTGAAATGGATACTCACATCATTGATTTCTAGGCTTTCTAATTTAGTGATATATGCATTTAAGCCTATTGATTTCTTTCTAAGCTATACTTTAGTGTGGCTGTTTAATGTATTATTTTCTTTTCTTTATTGTGGGGTGTGTGTGTGTGTGTTTATGTATATGTGGTGTTTTTAGACAGAGTCTTGCTGTGTTATTATCTTCCTGCCTTTGCCTCCCAAGTAGCTGGGACCACAGGTGTGCATAATCATACCCAGCTCATTAGCGTGGTCCAGGAATGTAACTTGGGCCCCCCATGCAGCATGTAGTATGTTACCACAGCTGGATCATGTCTGGTTATTTTCTACTCATATAATTTTTAGCTCACTTATCCATCTGTGTCCAGTGTACTTGAAACTTACCTCTTGGATCCTATTTCTTTTCAAGGATTTCTCATTGATTTTTATTTTAAAATTGATTCTAGTTCTTTAGTAAAATTCATTATTAGGTCATCTTCTTTAAAAATAAATGAATCATAGTCATTTTAAAGTTTAAACCAAAAATTCCAAAATTTTGGTCATCTTCGTTTCTCTGTTGTAGTGGCCCCACAGAGGGTAACCCCCACAACCCCAGATTGGCTTGGGTGTGAAAACCAATGATTCAGCACACCTCACAAGAGAGTCTGAACAGGGTTATTACTCCACAATGGGACTTCCAGCTGCAGTAGAGCAGACACCCAAGCTAGTCCTCAGTGGTTTGAGCAGAGAAGAATCAGTAGTTTTAGTTATTATCATGTTAGGAAGAATGGCAGGGGTCAGGGTTTCTATGTGGAAACTAGAATTAGAATGGTTTAACTTTCTTGGTGTCACCAAAATAAAAACAAAAACAGAAACTTTTTTTTTTTCTAATGAACTTACCCATTTGTGGGGCAAGATGGTACTGGAAGAGGGACTGAACTTAAAGACTTTTGGCAGACATTTAAGAGGGAATAAGATGTAGTGACAATTCACTCCCAATACCTCACAAATGACTGGAAAATGGCATGTTTCATTTCATTGAGTTTAGACTTATATAAATAATTTAGTGTGGAACTCTTTGAGGCTTTCTGAATGGAGATAAACTTGTTTCTATATTTTTATTGTTCTCAAGGTTGTGCTTTGTGATATTCTAGATAATTTTGAATTAATGGCAAGCATATATATGGGAAAATATAGAGGATCTGGATAATATTTTCTCCTTTTAGCGAGGACTCACCCTATCCTCTGTGGGGCAACAGAGGCAGACCATCTCATTCCAATCCAAGAGCGAAGTGACTTGGGGTTATTTGTGGTTTTTCACAAGTCTAGTCTACTTTGCTTTAATGCAGTTTTATAATCTTTCAGGGGTGCTGGCAGAGGATTGCATGTGTTACTTAGTATTGCACCTTATTTGTGAATCATAAACTCCAATTTCTGTTTCCCAACACTATGAGACTGCCAAAAACTTTGCTTTGCTCTGTGGATGGTTTCAATTTGTCTTGACTGTTGCTGTGTGTAACTTAATTGACTGTCAAAGACCTCGGGAAACCAAATTTGTGATCAAGTGCCAGGTTGCCGTCTTTGAACCTCACTTCTTTGTGAGATCTCAGTTCCAAGTCTTTGCGGCTGCCTCGGCTGTCATGAACTATGTTTGTTTTGTTTGGGGTTTTGGTTGCTGTTGTGGTTGTGTGTTTGTATTTTCTTTTCCTCCCAAGAGCTATGAGACTGTTGAAAACTCTAAGGGATTTGCTTCCTCTCTACGGCTGACTTCTCTCTAGTTTCTCAATTTCTCTTTTAACCCAAAGAAATAACAAATCTTAGGGAGGGTGGGTGAAGTGATATGCAGGAAGTTAGGCTTTCTTCCATGAGCATCTCTTTTATCTAGTTTTAAGTTTTGACTTCTTTGGCAGCTCTTCCATGTTTTCAAGCAGATTATTTTTATTGTGTGTTTCTAGTTGTTCTCAGCAGCAGGATGGGTCTAGAAGTAGAAAGTACTGAGATAGCTGCTTCAGTTAGGTTTGTGGAGCTTTTGTTGTTAATATCTTTAGTTGGAGAGTTGTTTA